AGATGTGTATATGGGGTCCATTATGGGGAGTGAACCAAGCCGTCTGGTAGGTGTCTGAGAATTTACCATGGGGACAAAGTTTTTATAATTATGCTTCCCTTTGACTTATATATTTTTTTTTTTCTGTTTTTTTTTTTTTTGTGTCCTATTGTATTTTTCCAGAATAAATAAAATAAGTTAAATAAAAAAATAAATAAATTTTCAGCATGAGGCTACTGGAGGAGCCTTGTGAGTGTCAAACTCCTTGACACTCATAGAATCTGGGCATTTTTGGTGAAATTCTAAGCTGTTCTGAGACGTTTATATATATATATGCACACATAAGCTTGTGCAATGAATAAAATACAGGTCTTTATTATGAGTTATTGTGTTTTTTGGGATGTATATTAGCTATAACATGAATGTTTGAATTTGACTGATTCAGTAGACCTAAGTGGTTTTATTATTTCCTCAAAAATTCAATGTAAATTAGGAGTAATGCTAGTGTCTTTTCATCTAGTGTCAAGGAATCTGGCCGTCATTGAATGATTCTTTGAAATTACAAAATGTAAATAAGGGGCACATTCTGGTGTACTGTATAATAAGTATGGTATTAATTAATTTCACACCCCTTCCCCCCAAACATAAATTTAACTGCCAACATTAAGGTAGTGTTTCATTCCGTTCGGCCTACAACAAACAACTAGACATTTTGGATATATTTTCGTTTAATTAATATAAAAACATGTAATCATTAATGTCTTGATTGAGATCATCTTTTTGAGAGAATAAAATTATTTTTTAATGACATAGGTTAACACACTGACTGAAAAAAAGAAAAAGAAAAAAACAGCACCGGAAACTGGAAGAACATCTCCAGATTGTTAAACTGACCAATCAGAACAGCGCCAGGAATACCCGCTTGTTCCACAAACACAATTGTTTCCCCACAAACACAATTGTTTCCCCAGAAACGCACGTGTTTACATACCGTACGTTCACCACCCTGTAATTTTCTAGCAACAATATGCAAGGGGCGGGGCTTAGCGGCCTACTGTATCATTTAAACCGATTCAATTACAACTGTTTGAAACTACTTTTTCCAAATCCAAAGCAAAAATGTCAACTGATGGGATGCATGTTTGTGTTGCCCAATTGTAACCGTCGTATGTGCTGTAAATAATAAGTGATTATATCAAAACTATGAAAATAAATTTTATCTATTAAAGACATAAAATAAATGTGTTTGCCTAGTCTGTTTTATCTGTTTTTACAATATTCACAATGTTTAAATTTATATCCTCATCCGAATATATCTCAGTTATTCTTTAATCTACGGAAGAGTGGAAGGACGATCTCCCTACCAAAGAAGCATCCCACTGGAAATTTAGTACGTTGTGATTTTGAAGTTGACCTTGGCCCTGTGTTCTGTAGCCGTGGCCGTTTTTTGATAAAACGCTAACCACAGGTAATCTAAGTTATCAACATTTATTGAAACTCAATAGTATTTTGAGATTATTGATTATATATGGAACATAGGCCTATTCTTCAAAAAGGCCTCCCTTTTTATAGGGCGAGTTTTCGCAACGATAACGAATACGGTTACGCCATCAAAGTTGTAGACAAACCTTCCCCTACTGTAGTCTGTAGCATATCTGTCACAACGTATATGTGATTCATGCATTTGCATAAATCAAGGATTGATCATATTCAGCTCTTACAGCATATTGTCAAGAAAGGTTTTGCACGATTGACGAAATGATAATGACGTATTCATATTTGTTTTCGTTTTCGTAAGACTAGTTACCAACCGTCTCGCATCGTGCGGGACGGTCCCGCAAGGTGATTTTGGATGAAACACGCATTTCGCAGAAATAGGCCTACATGGATGATCATAAATTTGTCACGCATTTTAGCACAAGTCTATGCGTGATAACGAATTATCACGAATTCAGGGCAAAATGTATTTAAAAATTAGAAGAAATTGGTTTTATTAAAAATATAAAAACGGCCATGCAGTAGCTTGAGTTATTTCGTTATCTCGTATAAGAATCAATTCACCGAGAAAATATCTCTTTTCTGACCCGGAACCCAGCCAACCACGCACTTAGTAGAATCTAAGTTCATTGTCAAACCAATCGTTGATTATGTGACTGGAACCCGGACTCCCACTGGGGTTCCTCCCCTGCATCCCATGGGCCCTTCCCCTCCCCTCCCCAACCCACTCAACTGGTGTAGTCACGCATTTCAAATCTCTCAAGTTGGTAATGCAAAATCTCCCTGTATTAAACAATCTCATAAAGATTCTTAAAAATTTTGTAAGTTTAATTACAGAAAATAACGAATTATATTCTGTTAATTTCAACTGTCTTAAAAATGTGAACCCCTCTCAGGAGAGTAGGAGGAAGGGGTACGCACACCTACCCTTTCTCTTGGATACGAATATTTTGTAGTTTACATTTTATGATTTTAAACATTAATTCAAAAAGATGAAATGGAGTAAGTCACCAAAATGCGAAGAAAGTCATGATAAAAGCTTTTTTTTTCTTTTTTTTGTGTTAAATGAAATATTTTGACAATATGGGTTTCATAATGTATTTTTTTTACTCCTAAGTTACTCAACCTCATAGGCCTAGTTGATTTTTTATTCAAATAGTTGAGCGCGAAATTGTATAGTCTGAATAAAATAGGGTCCTACATAAAGTGTTAGTTATCTACCGAAGTTACCCCATTTTAGGTATATAGGCGCCTACTGTTAAGCTATGTCTACACTATAACATTTTATGTGACATTATATGGATACGATGACGTCATATCACGTCATCAAATTGTATAAAAAAAAAGTTGAAAGTGTTCAACTCTATGTTCCATAAAATTTTATGTGACACTTTTTTTGAAATTTGATGGTGTAGACAAAGCTTAATATATATTTTGTTTTCTATGGCAATATTTAAAAGATTGTATAAATTAATTTACAAATAAATAATTGAGTATTGAAAGTCCTATTTACTGGCTGATACGTACATGGTCCACTCCTTACTTGAAGATTGTTTGCAGCGCAGTGCAGTCACAGTAAGGGGTGCAATCTCGTGTAAATGTCATTATTTTATTTTAAAACGTGTGCCTACAGTACGTAAAAACACTTTTTAAATAAAATAATGACATTTGCACGAGATCCGGGACGAGATCGCACACCTTGCACTGCGCTGCAAACAATCTTCTTTTGGTATTGCATCTAGAGATATAATATTTAACCTTAAATTTATTATAAGAAGTAGCCTTATTCTGATTGTTGTCTTAATGACATTGCAGTTTGGGCTGAACCGGGGGCGGAACTCGACGAGAACCAAAATTAAAAGTAAAGTTCAGCAATTTTTTTGACATTTACATCCGGGTTATTCTATTCCGAAACCATCATGGCCGCCTCTGATGGCTCTGGGAAAGACGAAGTCAAAACACAGTTTACAACTCGTGAGGGCCTTTATAAACTTATGACTTTATCAGAGTATTCACGACCTACAAGAGCACCATATAATGTACAATGCTGTCATCCTGTAAAGGTTTCATTCGTAGCTGTTAAGGATGGCTCAGGCTCCAACGAGAAAATTTGTTTCAACGTCGGACGCGAGCTGTATTTTTACCTGTACAAAGGCGTGCGGAAGGTGGGCTATTTCCGTACCTAGCTAACTAAGCTAGCCTAGTTAGGGCTAGGATAGGCCAACTCGTAACTAGACTGGGCTGGGCTGGTCAAATACTTTTCACTCATTGCCCTGGTGGACAATGCCTCATATATTATAGGCCTGTGTGTGTGTAGATTGAATATTTAGGCCTACTAGTTCAATAGCAGACTTTTTATATCAAGTCTTTAAATTTAAAAAAATTTAAAATCTTGTAATGTAAAATAAAAGATCAGTGCAGTACTCAATGGCAGCACTAGAAAACATAAAAAGATTTTGGATCAAGTGCGATCATCCATGTGCTGCAGGTATGTAGCTCAACTGAATATCTTGGCAGTATGTGAACCCCATCCGTAATAACAATATCCTGGTGCGTGACTGTAAAGTAAGATCTGCCCCTGGTAATATATCCTGCACTCAAAAATTTGGCCTAGAAATCCGCTCACACATTTTGGAAGATAAGGGCCGATTTCCGTGCATGTTTTTTCTGAAAATTAGGCTTTAACCTAATCTTAATATAGGCCTAACATATAAAAAATATATTGGGCAGTAATTACGATTTTGTGCACCAATATTCTAGAATTGTCTAGTGTTTTTTAAGGATGGAAAAGTGGGTTGAATGGGTGGAGGGCCATGAAATAAGTTTAGACTGGGTGGAAAACTTCAAGGCTGGGTGGCGCCAACCTCTGCCCACCATAACTACATCCCTGAGGCAGTAAATGTTTCCCTACGAAGTCATTGGTTTCTTCCCCAGCAGTAGGTATCTCTATTAAACAGGTGCTCCTTTAGGAAGAGGCGCGTTATAAATGCCTATACCAGTACCAATACCCCCACACGCCGTAGACAACTTAGTGGCCCAGCCCAAATTTTCTAGTAAATCAACAACAACCAATTATTTAGTTAGTTAACTGCTTTATATTTTATGTCGTTAACTATTTATCTTGTCAGGCTGCAGATTTAACAAAACCAATAGATAAACGCACATACAAGGGAGGGACACTACCAACGTGTCACGACCTAAATCAGTTCACAGCAGGTGAGAATGGCGTGGCGTTACTTATCGGATTCTCTGCTGGACAAGTTCAACTAATTGACCCAATCATGAAAGATGTTAGCCGAATATTTAATGATGAGGTAGGTATACAAGGTTGATGATTGGATATTAAACAATTTATCATAATAAATTTTTTTTTTGTTTTTAATTGACCATTTTTTGCATTTGACGATGCATTCAGTATAGCTGTTTTTTACTTTAGCATTTATTATAACAATTATAAGGCGAGACACTTTTTTATACCTTGTTTAGTGAGCCCGCCACCTGCAAATAATGATGATTTTGAATAAAAATATAATTTTATTTTTCGCCAATTGGCGTACCCACCGCCACGAAAAAAATGGAAATTTCAGAAAACAATTGAAGTTTTCTTTATTCTCCCAAGATAAGATATGTATATATCTTTCTAATTATATAAATTTAAAGCATTTAACTATTCCATTACTACACTGTTACATTTACCAATAAAATTATATTTTTATTTTCTCCTCTGTGTGGATTTTTTGGCAAAACTATTTGTTAAAAAAGAAAACAAAACTTTCTATTTATTTTTTTTTCCACCCTCCTCTGATGATTTTTACAAAAATAAGGTTTGCAAAACAAGGAATAAAAAATTTCTTGCTAAAGTGGCTTGATAGAAGTAATAAAAACTCTCTGTATACCACAGGAGCCGGCAGGATAACCAAAAGTGAAGTAAATTAAGTCACTGTAAAATTGGCTCTCCAAGAATTGTGGGTGAACAGAAAGTACCGTAACAACACAATAGATATTTAGAAATTGAATACAGAATAGTTATAAATAAAGTATAAAAATACCAGTAATATTTTTTATCTCTATGTACAGTAATTCATTATTTCACCAGCTATATCTACTGTAGATTTTTAAAATACAGTTATTCTCAATTTGTATTTGATTTAATTTTATTTTCAGCGACTTATAGACAAAACAAAGGTTACTTGTGTGAAATGGGTTCCCGGTACAGAACATATGTTTCTTGTGTCACATTCTAGTGGTCAGTTGTATGTTTATAATAGGGAGCACCCAGTCTTCAATACGCCCCCTCAATATCAAACTTGGAAGCACGGAGATGGGTACGCCATATATACATGCAAGACAAAGTCCAATCGGAATCCAGTATTTCGATGGATTGTAGGTGAGGGCTCCCTAAATGAGTTTGCATTCTCACCGGATGTCAAATACCTTGCTACAGTTTCTCAAGATGGTTTTCTACGCATTTTCAATTATGATACTATGGACCTAGTTGGCTCAATGAAAAGCTACTTCGGTGGACTCCAGTGTGTGAGTTGGAGTCCTGATTCAAAGTATGTTGTAGTTGGCGGTGAAGATGATCTAGTAACTGTATGGTCTTTTGTTGAAAAACGAGTCGTTGCAAGAGGTAAAGGACATAAATCGTGGGTCACGACAGTCTGTTTTGACCCGTACACTTCGGAAATCTTAAATCATAATGAGGATTTCATGGGAAGCGATGACGATTTTACCTCACCGCACGATCAGCGCTCACCTGGATCTAGAAGAGAACGTACTTTGAGCAGTCAATCGAGGAATTCAATTCAAAGTAATGGTGGTGTACCACCGGTGCTTTACAGATTCGGCTCTGTAGCCCAGGACACTCAGCTATGTCTGTGGGAATTTACAGAAGATCTTTTAAAACAGAATCAGCCTCTTTCTTGGCAACGGACAAACATGCAAAGTCCCGTAAGTAGTCTAGCGCAGTGCAATAGTCTATCGTCACAAGGCAAGACATCCAGCAACACAAACACCAGCCATCATTCAGATGGCGGGGTGCATAGTAGGTTTTCAACGCTAAGCCTTGGTGATAAACATAAAGATAAAAGTAAAAAGGAATCTGTTTCAAGTAAAAGTGGAGAGAAAATGAACATTCTCAGCAAGATCCATCAGAAAATCTTAGAAGACTCGGCAAAGGCAATTGGTACGCCGATGTGCCCGAGGATTGATGAACTGATTATACTTGAACCGTTAATCGCAAAAAAGATCGCACACGAACGGGTGACCTCACTTATATTTAAGGAAGACTGTATTGTTACAGCATGTCAAGAAGGCTTTGTTAGTACGTGGGCTAGACCAGGCAAAGTGGTAAGTTGTTAAATTGAAGAAAAATTGAATAAATACTCCAGTATACTGCATTTCACTCTTCTTCATAACCATTTTGAATTTTGTTTTAGAAAAGTTAATTCATAAGTGTAGTGTATTTGTAAGTACCAGGTATTGAGTCACTTTATTGAATTTTTTGTACCAAAAATAGAGATTCAATATTAACATAATTATACATTATGATACAATACAACATATCCTACTCAACCTCCCCTAGGTACATACTGTACACATTTCCCCATACACAAAACTTCTACTGTACATTATATTGTTCCAGTGATGACAGAGGTAAGAACAGATGCATGTGTCACACTCTACACATTATTGAGACATAATACTTATTAAATACAGTATTACTGATAATAATTAGAAATTAATACAAATATCAAAGTGAGTAATCCATCGCAATTCAATAATTTAAACAAATGGAAGAAACAAACAGTACTTTTGCTTGGAATGCTATATAGTAGTACTGAAGCACTGCTGGTTGTGTTAGCTTAAACATCAATCGTGGCCTAACACTTATTCTATAGAATGCACTGTGCAATGACACTTCACCCTTCAGCAATGCAGTTGGCTAATCATAACTCTAAATGAAAAATACTGTAAAATATAAAATTGATACAGTTGGACAATTAACAGTAATAATATTTCAATATAATAATGGTGTTCATGGTGGAGGTTATACTGTATGCTGTTGCATTATATTAAGGCCTGTCCAGACTATCAAATTTTATTTGCCTAAATATGGCCATGATGATGTCACATCATAACCATATACAGGCACATCATGTCTATATGGGCACACAACAAATGTTTGATACTGTAGTGTGGACAAGCTTTAGGGGAGTCTAGTGGAAATGATGTTTAGAGTATTGTGGCCAGTTCATGAACATACATTAATAAAATATTGTATTGTACAGTGTATCTGGACACATTTGTAAAAACTGCACCACCATATTCAGTACAATACAATTTTTCAGGTAGTACTGTAGGCTATGTTCTCACACAGCTGCTAACGGTTATAACCGTAAGCTGCCATGCGTCCACACAAGAAAATCCCGATCCGGATACCAAAAATATGATGATCGAATCACTGGCCAATAAGAAACTGGAAATTGTAAATGCGTATGTGTGATTGGTTGATGATAAAAACGCGCTCAACTTGCTAACCGATAGCGCTTGCTAACCGTTAGCGGTATCCGCATACCGCTAACGGTTAGCGCTAACCGATCAGGCGTTCTCATGCAGGTGCTAACAGTTAGCGTTAACGGTTAGCTTCTCTATAATGTACGTAATTTAAATACCATCAATGTCTCATTAAAAATTTAATTTAAAATGTACCCAGGTGTTTTTTTTATAACAATTTAAAATGAAATACTAATAGTTGTAATTTGAATTTTAGGTATATAGCAGTTTAGCTGTGTTATTTAAAGACACTCCATCCTCCTTGTTTTGCACTTTTTATTTTAATAGTTCACCATGTAAACAAAAATGCACTCGCATTGTTTTTTGCACTGCATAGATGCAATTAATTGTAGTGCATGTATTTACTTACTATTTTTCTCATCTTTGGACCTGCTCACTGCATTTATTTTTTAACAAAAACCACCAAAAAAGAAAATTGAAATCATTGCATGTCTGTAGCCAGTGACTAATTGTGAGCCTTTTCGTTGTTTCTTGGTCTCTTTTTTTGTTTAGCCCAACCATGCCCCAGATCTCACGGGCAGAGGGGAGATGCACTCTGAGAAATCCCACTAATTTGAGGTATAGTAATTGTACTGTTCCAACTACCTTTCTTTTCTTTTTTTTTATGATGATGAAATAATTTTTACTTGCCAACTGTGACACTGAATCCTACTGTTCATGCTTATACAGTATAGTTTTTTTCCCCCAAAAAATCGTGATTTTTTTTTTTTTTCCCCTTCTTTAGGTTATGTTAGTGGAAATTGTTAATTGTGGCTGTGTGTGTTATTTATTATTATAGAGGTCTGCTCTTGAATTCTTTGCTGTTCTCCTTATTTTTTGTGAACTAAAAATTGGTGCTTCTCGCTGGTTCTAATAACTTCCTTGCACTTGTAGCTTTAATGTTCTCATTTTTCGGGATTTACAGTATTTTTAATATTAAAACATTCATATGTTCATGTTTGCAACATTCATCATAGTAGATTTCAGAATCAAAACATTATCCACATTTATTTATTACAAAGCAGAATTCTAAATTCTTTAATATTCATATTTCAATTTTTTCAACAATGGGTATTGTGACAATTACTTTTATTTTTCACACTTTGAATTATTAATTATATATTTTTTTATTTTTCAATAAGGAATATAAACATGTTTAAACAGGCAGTTGAAGATAAAATATAGTTTAAAACTGTGATCAAAACCTGTCAACAAAGCCCAGATATAATAAATAATTATTTATATTCAATAAAATATTTCAATCAATTGAATTATTACAATCATGTTCCTTTTTGTATTATCTGATCTGCAATGTAATGTACTGTTAGTAGTCAATAACCTACTGATAATATAGTACTGTAACAATTTAATATTATTATTTAATGTTAATTAATTGTTAAATAATATTAATCATGTTTTGAACCTAATATATTTTGTTTATAATTTACAATGGATAGGGACTAATGCAGTCAACTACATCGGTGCCAGGCGGTACAGTGGTCTGATAGATCTTTGAGGTTTACCAGAACGCCCTCCGCACAACACCAGTTGCTGACCTTTCATTGTCATCTGGAGTCAACAAAACACAGGCTCCTATAGTACTGCAAAGTTCCAGATTGGTATACAGTCAGGGTGCATGTACTGTAGAGTGTGGTGCTGAGAAAGCTTCATGCTTCCTTGGCCTGTCTTACATCCACTGGTCTTAGTGATGGCAATCTTTTGGCAGTGATCTTAAATAGCTGTTGTACAGTATATACTCAAGTGGTCAGCCGTAGTTAAAACCATATTCAAATGACATCCATCAGTTCTTAAGGATTTATCTTGACTGGCATTGATTCCACAGTGGTCAGCCTGACTGGACTCGGACACTAGATTGGTCAGCCTGAAGTAACATCCAGGATGTATGGACTCTTGATTGAGCTTTTATGGATGCAAGATGTCGGCTTTGATCAGGGGTCAGCCTGAATATTCAACTGTACCGGGAATGTACAATGTTATGACTCAAGATACAGTATCAGTCATTGATCCACATTGGTCAGGCTGGCATCCAGTGTTCTTGTTGGTTCTTAAGATGTCAGCAAGAATTCAGTGGTGGTCGTTCTCATTTTGTTACGTTAAATATCTTGCTTAATTACTTCCAAAATAAATTCTAAAAAGTGGTAAGCGTCCCACAATATCTTGCTTATTTTAAAACATTGCATCTAGCAATGTTTTTCATATCACAGGATATGTTTTGCCATTCAGTAATACCATTTGGGGAAATGGGAAATCAAAACGATGTCTGACCCAGTTTTGAAATATATTCAACCAACTATTTAACTATATAGGAATCATGTATGGTATGTTGACTTTTAAAATTGATAAGTACAGCGTGTTCCATTGCTGCCAGATAATTTTTGTTTTGTGAATATTTTTTGTAAATTGTGCAAAACTTTATAGAACCACTGGCCTAATACAGTCTCCTCAGCAGTTTTATTTATCATTTCTTGTTTTAATCAATTTTTTTTTTTTCTGATATGAAGTATACAGTCAATATTCTGCACAATATTAAATTTTCAAAGAATTTTATATTCCTCAAGATTAAATTGTTTTAATCTCAAAATGAGAAATATAGTTTGTTTGCATACTTTTGTAGGGGAGGGAGACGGCTAATTTCAACTCTCTTTAAAGTTCTTAAAAAAAAGCCGAATGATGTGAATACATAAGAAATTTAAACAATATCTAAATTCTTTAATACATGTGCGCAGCATATACTGTACCGTATATACTCACGCATACAAGACGACCCCCAAGTTTGAGAAGATTTTTGGACAATTTTTGTATGTCAGGTCATAGAGAAAATAGAACAGTTCTATTTTCTCTATGGTCAGGTATACAAGATGACCCCCTCCCCCTTGTTTCATCGTCGGTATTTCTACTTTTTGCTGCTTTTTATAGGCTTGATACTGCATCTAGCTGGCTAAAGCGGGGCCAGATATAGGGGAAATCCTTCAAATATTACCATTTTATGGGCTTCTAAATGTTTGTCAAAATATTATTTCCCAGCATTTAAAATTGCATTCATTCATACTAACCGTTAGTAGTTTTTAATTTCATTTGTAAATTTGTGTGTTACAGACTATCCGCACATAAGACGAACATGATTTAAAAATAAAAAATTTGTATGTGTTGCGCGTATAAGATGAGAATATATGGTACTAATGCTGTATTATATTATTTTGGTGAATTTTCATAGTGAATCTGGTTCTCAAATCAAATACCATGATATGAAATCCTGGTGGCTACTTCTATAGACAATACTCAGTTTTGTAATTCGTAACTTTGTCCTGAAACACTTACCGGTGATTAAATGACCGATTGGTTGATGAAGGAGGCTGGTACCTCTCATAGTAATGTAAACTGAAAAGTTGTGTGTTCTCAAATTATTTAAGCCTAACATTTTTTTTTTACAAATTTTTGTAATTTTATTGATAAAAGAATTATTAATTTCAATCCACATTAGGTGGTACTTCATAGAAGTATGTACTTTTATATAGATCAGCAATGTATGAAATTGTGGGGGACAATTGTGTTGGAATTATCTGCCTCTGTCAAAAATATGTTAGCAAATGATTTTCTTTTTGATACACTCTCTTATTAGTAGAAAGTTAATGAAGTGATGAAAATGTGCTACACAACATTATAAATATAAAATACTTTATAAATACTTATATCATGAACAAAAATGAGTTGTACTAAATTAAAAAGCAATGGTGGACAAAGAAATTGTAAGTTTGGTATTGCAAAGGTAAGTGCTGTAATTATCGTTCACTTCAGTGGCATATTTAGGATGTTGGAGGCTGCTGATAGGGTGCAAAAGTGAAGTGGGGGCTCAATGATTAGGTGAGGGGTGCCAGCTCGCAAAATAAGGTGATTTGAGGTGATTTTTATCAACTTTAGGGTGATTTTGTGGGAGGGGGTGAGCGCGAGTATTTTTTGTTCCTCGCGCATCCTAGATACACCGATAGTTCTTTTGGGTTATCGGATAGCAATCTTAAAAATGTAAGGCAGTGATAGATACTGTAACATCATAGAATGTGGTTGCGCAGCAGTACATTCACATAGAACCCTTGACTTAATTGGACATTCAAATTTATTTATTCACCATAAAACTGTTAAAATATACTTGAATAAAATACTTATAAAATGATAAAAAGGACAACCAATAAAGAAACTCAAAAGAGAGCTTGTAAAACAAGGTTTACAAATTCCAGATAACATATTGTTAAATTAAAATGCATAAATATTGGGATAAAATGATATAAAATTTATCATTATATACTGTAATGTCATAGATTTATATAATACACTCAAACATACATCTGCAAATAACAAAAAAAATTAAAATTTATTTATTAATTTAAGTTATTAATTTTAAATTATCTAATTCATTATTCTTTATTTATAATCAGTTATTTAAAAATAATAATAATTACAATAATATTAAGAATTATATTTGAAAACCTCAGAGTATTTGAATGCACTACTGGCAAAAATGGGTGTGGGTAGACTTGGGTGTGCAGTGCCAATTGAGGGGGAAAACCCCAAGCACTGGGAAGGTATAAGAATGTTTTTTTTTTGTTATTTTTTTTCAATAAGCCATTAGATGTTCATACTAGGAATCTTGACCTACAGTAAGTGGTCTTGCCTGAAGCGGAATCATTTTGTGTACAGTATATCCATGCTACTTTAGTTTTTTTTTAACTATAGAGATGGGTTTTTCAACAATGTGCGATAAATTCCTGATGCATATATTTTGCAAAGTGCCTGTTTCATTAAAAAATAACTCGGAAATACTTGACCATCCTAGAAAACTATGTAGAATTGTCACATTTAAACGATTGAAAACAATTTAATTTAAATTTTCAAGAAAATGTTTTTTTTTTGTTCATCTTTTATGTATTTTTTTTTTTGTGACGTTATTGTTAAATGTAAATTACAGTATTTGAATGAAACCTACTACAGTGTATCATATTTGGTTGCTGAAATTTCAAACATAATTTTTCTGAACTTACAACTTACAATTGTTTTAAAAATATGAATGTTGTTATTTTTTTTATCTTAACTGAATGTTTATTACTGTATATGTTGTTTATATATATATTCAAACTTTAATCTTTATTATACTTAATATTAATGATACCTAAATGACAAATTCACCTTAAGAAATAGAACATTCATACAACATTGCCAGAGACCACTGACTTAGTGACCAAAAATTTAGAGTACATAGAAAAAAGTCTGTTGCGGTGCTACACTAAAATCGTAATTTTAAAGACTACAGAAATTCTTTGTAACCTTAAAAAAAAAATTAAAATAATACTTCTTATTTAAATGTTTATAACCTTTAGAAAACACTAAGTAGTCTAAAACATGTATACATGTACATTTTTTATGTTTTTTATTTTACTGTAGTGTATGTGATTTCCTATTACACTATATATAATCTTTTAGAAAGACACCCTCTTGGACCATGGTGAAATAAAAGGTAATAATTAAAACATTTGTTAAGGGGACACTTTTTGGTGTTTCTCCTTTTAAAGGGACTCACAAAGGTGTTCCCTTAATAGAGGTTTTTAAGTTCAGGGGTTCTCAACTATATCGCAATAGGGGCCAAACTGTTCATTGAATAAATTTGAAGGGCCAGGGCAAGTAATGCACTTTGGCTCGTAGCAGCATTTGAGCGCCGCGGACGCAAGCCAGGGGGAAGGAAAGTTAGAAATTTTTCTGAAAATGATAAGCCGCTGGATTCTCATACTAGGTATCTTGACCTAAGAAAGCTACCCTTGGCTGAAATTTGGCATGTTATGATTTCTTTTCTTTGCTGTTTGCTGTGATACTTCCAATTTGATTATTAAATCGGTACAATGTGGGGCAATATGTTAAGGTTAGAAATCTAGGCCCAAGCCTAACGGAAAATATGATTTTTCGGCTTTTTCTTCTGGGCCGCATAATACACGCTCGCGGGGTGGAGATGGCCCGCAGGCCGCCAGTTGAGAAGCCCTGCTCTAGTTAATACATGTATGCATGGAATGAATATATTTTAAAACTTATTGTCAAATGTACTGATCTAAAGCCCTGTCCAGACTATCAAATTGGTATTTGACAAAAACATGTGACATTACTAAATATGGTCATGATGACTTCATAGACATCACATCATGACCATATATAGGCACATCATGACTATATATGTGGCAAAGACAAGCCAAACCAGTCACTCGTCACAAATCGTGTTTCAGAGAAAATGGCCAAAATATGCTGAAATGTCAAATTTTAAAAAATCTATTTTATTGCACTAAACTAATTTTTACATATCTACATCATTCTATGCTGTTATTTTCCCCATTTTCAATGTTAAAACAACACTTTTTAAGGATTTGATGATAGTTTCTGCATGAGTAATGCCTGAAATCATAAACTTTGAAGGCTCATTTCTCATATATTGTTCTTTAAACAGCTCTGTGTTTAAACGCTTGTAACTTCATAAGGAAATGTCCGATTTGAAAGATTTTTTTACCATTTTATAGCTATTATTTTACTCTCTAACACTGTATTAATAACTCAAAATCAATTTTTGTGACGAGTGACTGGTTTGGCTTGTCTTTGCCACATATGGGCATACAACTGGCTGGTAATCAATCAATTGAAGGATTTGTATAGTAATAGCTGTATAAAGCAGCAACAAATTGGTTATTCTCAATCTGTGTACCATTGAAAGTTAATAACTTGTTGATCCTAATGATAAATTTTATTGTAAAGGTGAATGGGTTTGCTTCATCTATTAAAAATATCTTATGACTGTAACTGTATACGGTTCTGAATAAACAAACAGATTAGAATTCTGATTGGATGTCAGAATTAGCCTGGTGTAAGACTGGTTTAAGAATAGCAGCTGCCTATTTTATAATTGTGGCATACACACTTAGTTATTTTATTATTAGAAAAAGGAGTACACAAAAGTGGTTAAGTGTACTATCCTATTATAATAATTATTTTTTCCTTTAATTTTGAGATGGTATATTTTTAACAATATTTTTGCCTTTAAGAAATGTATAAAAAATGAATTGAAGTTAAATGACGTTGGTCCTTAATGTGACCTCTTATAACTTGAACTTCTATAATCATAGCAATTTATTTACCTGAAAATAAATGTACAATTTTAAAAAAGTATCTCCATAATCATTTTTAAAAAAATCTGAAAACATGTGTGGGGTATTCGTAATGACATTAGCCCCATGAAGATTCTAGTAATGATATATATTGGTAAAATAAAAATTACATATACTGTATATTCAATTAAAAAGTTAAATTTTAGTGTTTCTACTTTTAAATAATGACAAGAAATTTCAGAGCCACTTAAAAAATTGTTATAAAACGATCAAAGTTTTTAAATAACACGAAAGCTATGGATATAGTAGAATGATAAATTTAAAACACAAAAGATAAATATTTAGATTTTTAACGTTGGGATGAAGAAAGTCCATTAGAACGATATATTAACTATTATTTGCCATGCAACTAATAAATATTAATGAGTTGAATCACAGCTGTTGAATATTTATAAGTTGTTGAATTTACAGGTTATGAATATTAGACTTGGCTATACTGTAGTGTGGTGCAGATTTAATCATATATGTTTGATTATATTATTGAAATTGTTATCTGTTTTGTTATAATACTACACTGGAAAGAAAACAATTTTGTTGATATTGTCTATTGCAATGTACAGTTATCAAATAATTTATGATTGTCTTAACAAATATGTATGTATATTAGTGGTTTGATAACTTTTTCTTTACTTAAATCTAATTGGTATAATTTATCCTAAGGAAATAAAAAAAATAATGTCTTTTCAATAAAGCAATATTAATTGCAATCTATTCCTCACTAAAATGATTTAGTATCAGGAATTATTGGGCAAAAATTGATTTGTGTTTTGTTTTTTTCTGTGTTGTCATATTTAGGCATTGTCATCCAATGGTGTATCTACAGGAAAGTATGATTTTGGCGAGGGGGTGGCCAGAAAGACGTATACCCCAGGTTCTCCCCCTATACCAACTCCTTCCTATCTATGAATTTTTCTGAGCCAAAAAGAAATCATGCACAGGTAGGGCTCCCTCACATAATCATTGATCCCCCTCGCACATCTCAATTTTCCTAGGTACGGCCACTGCTTCACTACAAAAAGGCACAAATATTGTTTTAGTGATATTTGTGATCCAGTGGTTGCACAAAAAATTCCCCGACGAGTGATCCAATTAGATCCTTGATGAGAGGTCCAAGTTGCCCAGACAGGGAACCAAATCCCTCCGTGCTTGGAGCAATTTAATATGCGCCTAGATGCCCAGAAATGGCACTCTCGTACTGTATAAATGTTTTTTAAAGCATTGTTCCTAGACGCTATACTGTAATTAGCATCATCCCTAACAGAGTCCAGGTTAACACAGCCACTGAATTGAATTTGTCTCAGGGCCAGATCTCCCTACCCTGTTTTGGCACTAAATTTTAAAATCAATGCATATATTGAAATTAGCGCTACTCATCTGTTCTGAATATGAT